GGGTGTGTGCCCTTGATCGGAATCAAACCCGGGACCCTTCAGTCCCCAGGCCCACACTCTATCCACTGAGCCAAACTGCCTAGGGCAGAGGTGGGCAAACTTTTTGACTTGAGGGCCACAATGGGTTCTTAAACTGGAAGGGAGGGCTGGAACAAAAGCATGGATGGAGTGTTTGTGTGAACTAATATAAATTCAAAGTAAACATCATTACATAAAAGGGTACGGTCTTTTTTTTTTTTCGTTTTATTCATTTCAAACGGGCCGGATCCAGCCCGCGGGCCATAGTTTGCCAACGGCTGGCCTAGGGCTTACCAAAATGTTTTGTTTTATTTTTCATTTTCAAGTATTATGAGGGTTTTTTTAAAAAAAAGAACCTTTACTTATCCCTTGAAGAAATTTTAAGGTATTTTATCATCTTGCGTCCAGAAGATGAAGCTTGTACTATGTTTCCTTTGATAATTTATTGATTTCTTTGTGGTCTATTATAAGGTCACTTTTTGTAATTCCTTTGTATGCATCTTAAAAATGGTGTTTAGCAGGTATCAAATATAAACTGTACACAATCATAGGTACTCAGTTTTATTATATATTTTGAATACCATGTATTTATTTTGTGGCTTAGAATCATAGTAAATATAACATCTCCCAATTTGAAAGTGATTTATGAAAATTAACCTTGTAGTTATTCCAAGTGTTTACACCCCCATTACAAATTTTGAATTTCTTCAGTTATTTCAGAACTCTTTCAGTGTAATTTTAGACTCAGCAAGATACTGGGCATTTAATTCCTTTTAATGATTTGGGATCATCTCCATTTCTTTAAAAATCCTATATAATTAAGAGGTGATATGCAAATTGACCATCACACCCTCACACAAGACTGCCACCACAAGATGGCCTGTAGGGGAGGTCAGTTAGGGGTGACCAGGCCAGCAGGGGAGGGCAGTTGTGGGCAATCAGGCCGGCAGGGGAGCAGTTAGATGTCAATCAGGCTGACAGGGGAGTGGTTAGAGGGTGACCAGTCTGGCAGGCAGAAGCAGTTAGGGGCAATCAGGCAGGCAGGCAGGGGAGCTGTTGGGAGCCAGCAGTTCCGGATTGTGAGAGGGATGTCCGACTTCTGGTTTAGGCCCGATCCCTGTGGGCAATCGGACATCCCCCGAGGGGTCCCAGATTGGAGAGGGTGCAGGCTGGGCTGAGGGATACCCCCCACCAGTGCACGAATTTTGTGCAGCAGGCCTGTAGTAAGAAATAAAACTCTAGCCCTTGCCAGTGTGGTTCAGTTGGTTGGGTATCGTCCTTGCATAGAAAGGTTGCCAGTTTGATTCCCTGTCAGGGCACACGCCCAGGTTGTGGGCCTGATTCCTGGTAGGGGGCATGCAGGAGGCAGTCATTCAATGTTTTGCTCTCACATTAATGTTTCTCTCTCCTATCTTCCTCTCTCTAAAAATCAATAAAAATATTTTTTTAGTGAAAACAAAATCTCTAAATTTTACAAAACTACCAATTGAAGGAATAATCAGCAGACTAATCTCTAGTCTTCTTTGATGACTATTTCTTATGTGTTAAGATGTGAATTACCTTATAATATATTTAAATTTTAAAGGTCTAAATGAACTAGATTAAGAAACGTATATATAAATAAATAATTCTGCTTATACCATTCATGTGCATTTAAACAAAAATGTGCGTATTAGGAAATATGTATTAAATGTATGCTATATAGATTAAGAAGTAATCCACACTTTATTTTCTTGTTTTTCTTAAGGATTGTAAACAACTGTTTAAAGATATTTATCTTGCCCTAGCAGGTTTGGCTCAGTGAATACAGTGTTGGCCTGCAGACTGAAGGGTAGCAGACTTGATCCCCAGTTGGGGGCATGCAGGAGGTAGCCGATCAATGATTCTCTCTCATCATTGACGTTTCTATTTCTCCCTCTCCCTTCCTCTCTGAAATCAATGAAAGTATATTTTTAAAAAATTAAAAAAGTGAAGATATGTACCTCTTACTTTATTTAAGCTCATATTCTTAGACATATTTCAGTTCTTCAGAGAGTAGGATTAAACTAATAATAGGAGTAATAACTAATTTTATCATGTCTATAATTGGGGCATGGTATTGGTCATTAGAAGAACCCAAGAATGTTGATTGGTAACACATAGTAGGAGACAGAGTACCCAAAAATCTCTGGAGCTAAGGAGTTAGAACAGAATACTCTAAAACAGGCTCTAACTAGCATTCTCAGAGATCCACACATATTCCAACCTGAGTACACTGCCTCCTAATTCCAAAGACTCCTACAAATGCTACCTACATCTGTCACCAACCATCTCAGCTTTCTACCTAATTCCTCATTCCCAAACCTTACAAAGAGATCCATAATTTTAGGACATTTTACTCTGTAATTATATGTGTATAATAATGAAAAAAAATTTGTAGCCTTTAGCTTTTTAAATTTTCATTGAAGAGGTATTATACATCCTGACCAATAATGCTTGTATATGTGTGATGGGCAGTGGCAGGAGGAGACTTTCTAAAGTTTAAAAAAGTAAAGATATATACCTTTTACTTTATTTAAGCTCATATTCTTAGACATATTTCAGTAACAAAGTAATTACATTAGGTTTGCACATGAATGGTATAAGGAGATTTATTTATTTATTTATTTATTTTAATCCTCACCCAAGGACATCCCTCTAGAGAGGAAGGGAGAGAGATAGAGAGATAGAAACATCGATCAGCTGCCTCCTGCACACTCCCCACTGGGGATGTGCCCGAGAGAGAGAGAGAGAGAGAGACATTGATGTGGGAGAAACATCGATCAGTTGCCATCCCATACATGCCCCAACCAAAGATTGAGCCTACCGCCTATGTATGTCCCCTGATTAGGAATCAAACCCACAATTTTTCAGTGTTTAGGACGACACTCCAACCAACTGAGCTACACTGGCCAGGGTTAAGCTGTTCTATTTATTATCTTTATATATTTTTATATTCTTTATAATTTTCTCTTTTATAATCTCAAATGTTGATTCTAAATTTCAAAATATACCCTAAAAATATATATATATACCCTATTTAAAAATACATTGTTTTCACAAAATTAATCTTTAAATTATGAATACTCTAATTCTAAAATCTCCTTAGGTTTTAAATATCAAGATTAATTTTTTTAAGTATTTTAATTTCAAGATAAAATATTTGAATACTTACTTGCTACACTTTCTTATTATGATTGGGAATAACATCTTCCCTAAGGAACTAGTATATTGGCAGATGAATCTGTTATTATCACTTTCAACATACCTTTATTAGAAACATTTATTTACATTTTTAAACAAGATGGTTAGACCAGTTTAATCCATTGACAAAACCCCATGCATGAATAAGTATAGGACTTAAAGGGAAAAAAATGTAACAAGAAAAAGTTTTTGTTTATCCCTAGACTCTTTTTTTGGCAAAGAATGAAGGTTGCCTCAGCTTAATTGTCTTATACACATTCTTGTGACGTTGCAAGATTTGTTCAGAGGAAGAAAAAGAAGGGAGGTATGACTCTGTGGTTATGTTTCTAAAAAGGGTGTTAGAGAGGGAGAAGAGAACACATAAGCAAGCTGGTTTGACCAGAAACAGAACTGCCTGTGACAGATTAAAAGCAATGCTTGGAATCTGAGAGCAAGCAAAGAGAGTGGAAATTTACAGCTGCCTTGTGTGAGTGTTCAAGTGATCGTATTCTGCTAATGTTTTTCGGTGGTAACTGTTACTCTTCAAAGACAGAGGCAGAAAGTCAAGACTGGATTGTGGAAACTCTTTTCTCTGCCACGCTTTGGTAATAGGAATCACCCTCTGTTGAATGGAAGATAAAGGCTACTTCTTCTGAAGTCCTTTTAGCCCACGAGAGAGCTGTCTTCAGCACCTCACCATGTGTCTACTTGCTGTTGCTTAGACAAGCCTGGGATTTCTATAACATTTGGTGAGTACCAACCAGGTTATCTATACCAGTTCATAGAAATGGAATTGATATGGTAAACTTCAGTTTCAGTTAAAGTTTTACAGTTATTGCTTATATATTCATTTTAAATCATGTTGTTACCTTGTTTCTTTGTAAATGATAAACTGCTGTTACTAGGAGAGGTTTAAAAAAACAAAGGCTACAAAACAATACTCCTCTGTTGCCTAAGACACTTGAACCACTACCAACTATTCTCTGTCTGTGAAATATCTTATTTTGGAAACGGGTTTTTATTTACAGATTTTCCAAAAATAAAATAATGGCAGTATATCATTTTTCACCTTACTCTTTCAACTTAATGAAAATTCAAAAGTTATGTTTTTCTGCCTAGTACCAGTAAATTTAAAATTACCATTGTGATATTTGGTATTTTCAGTTATTAAATTACAGAATTCTCATGATTCAAGTGGCACATGACCTCTTAAAAGTTCCATAATAAAAATAAAATTAGACAATTTACATGTTAGATTTACCATTTGATACAAAATGAATGCACATGGATTTTAAATTAAGGAATAATGCAGTTGTATTGTTCTTATAGCTGATACCAAGCTCTCACATAATGGTCCACTGGAGAACTAGAATAACCAGGTGCACATATATATAAGAAAGCAATAGAGCAGGAAAAAGAAAAAGAAACTCTTAAAATATGTATTCACATTCTGATATAAACTTAGCATAGCAGAGTGTATGCTAATTTTACATATCTCATTTTAAGGGCATCAAGGGAAGGCGTGTAATCATTCTTCTGCTGGAGGAAGGAAGTATATATTGTTAGCTGCGAAACTGAGTCATTGTGTAAAGATGTACCATTCTAAGCAAAGTTTCTAATCTGCACTTTGCCAGCCTCAAAAAATGTCCTTACTGATTCAAGTAAGTTCTTTAAACAGAACAACTTAGCTGAAATGAAAACTTCAGCAGAGTGTCAGTACACATATTAAAAGGATTTGTACCCTAGACATAATATAAAATGGCTATCCTTTCTCTAATATTTCCTCTATGTATATGGAAGCCAGTAGAACAGGTTTTGTTTTGTGGGATTTTTTTTTTTAGCTTGTTGATCTATGTATAATAAGAAGCTCAGCTGGTCTGTGGAAACCTTTTCTGGACAAGTATCTTGCATTTAAAGTAAAAACTAAATACAATAGAGATAATATCACAAACCAACTTTTACTTCTTTACAGAATTTCCCACACTCAGTCCTTCTTGGACTGATAGAAGACTGGCACACAACTTCACAATCTTGAAAATAATTTTATTTTAAAATAGCAATTCATTGTTATTATGTTAGTGGTGGCACCATTTCTTAAGCTTGTATAGAAATAAAGAATAAGTTATGCCCAGTTTACAAATATTTTGTATTTAAGAAGTTTTTTTGTGAGTTGGTTGTTGAGAATTTGGGACCCATGTTCCTTGGGAATCAATTTAACAAATTATTGTTGGCTTTTATTATAGCCTAAGAATATATTTTACTCACATGGTAGCAAAACCATTGCCATCCTGAAAAATACTAGAAAATTAGTTTTAGTGATGAAACTAAATATTAAAACAATTATGTTGAATGAGACATTATCTTTATCCTAACTATTAATGCTTGAAGAAAAGCAAGTTTACTAAGAGATGGATGGATATTTGGAAGAATTCTTTTAAATTGGATTTCTAGCTTTAAGAGCTTTCAAGATTAATTGCCCTGTTTATGAGATCTAAGCTCATGTAAAATCAGTGATTATTCTTTTCCTTGCTACAGAAATATTTCTAGCCATTGCTTTTATGCTTATCATTTATTTCAGAGATCTAGCCCAGTGTTCTGACACATAAGTAGGTATCTAATAAATAGATGCAAGATGAAGACTAAACTCTTTATTTATTTCACAAAAAATGGAATGGAGTAATTTTTCCAAATTATTCTAAAAAGGAGAGGGGGTTAAGGGCACATAGTTTTCATTATGAGAGAGATGACCTGACAAGAACTGATTGAAATGTGAGACTCTAACAAAGCAATGTACTAGTAATACAGAATAGACCTAACTATTAAGCGAAAAAGAAAAGAACATAGGATAACTTGGTGGTAATCCTGAATGAGTAGGGATGCTGATGAGGGAAAGCAATTTACCAGCTAGGTATCTTGAGTACATAAGACATTCTGAAATAAGGTATCAACTTTAACTCAAGAGAATTATGTATTTGCCTGTGTGTACTAGGACCCATAAGAAGAAATGTGGCTTATTTGGAAAATTCCAATTAGGTTGCAAATTAAAGTTAGTTACTCTGCCCTAAACGTTCCTCTAAAGTGCCAAGATATAAAATTTTTAAATTAGTAATGCAATGAACAGATATAAAAATCAATAACAAAATAAATAGGCAATGAATGCAGATTACACTTATATTGTATGTTCCTTATATTGTACAGAAAGACTTTTCCATTTGATTAAAAAACACTACACTTTCTTTGTTAATTTTTTATAAATTAAAATAAACCTACCACTACATGAAAAAAATTCAGAAAAGTTCAGTAATTACCATTCTTTTATGTGGCAAATTATTTAAAAAGTAATGCTTTTGAGTATTCCTAAATGGCATATAATAGTTGCTTAATAAATATTGATTGATTGATTGAATAAAATAAGGTGAAATAGTTTAGACAGTTTTTTAATTTCTAAGATACGGATCTCTGTTTACATATACATGTACATATGTATTTAAAATGTAGCTTAAAGATAATATTACTGATATTTCTTTAGCAAGGGGAAAAAGCTATTAAATGCTTTTTCATTGTGGTCCTACTTAGTATTCCATCAGTAATTGGTTTAAGCTGAAATCTTTACTACTTTTGAATGATATAATATACTTTTCAGTTTTGTGACTTATATGTCTTAAACTTCTAGCAACAACTCTTCTAGGCTTTTGCAGCTTTGGAAATATGAAAGGCTATATTAACCTACCCAGCCAGAAAAACTACACACCTGGAAATCTATAGGATGCAAGTTATCTTCAGCTAAATTACTTTCATCTCTACTCTCCCATGTTAATGTTTTTATAGATTGACAGTTCATAGACAGGCAGAAGGGCTTACTGAAGCTATGAAATAGTTATATTTCACACTATAACCAAAAGCCTTGTCTTAATACCAATAACAGTATCTAGTCAAAATTTGGTGATTGTTATGTATGTACTTAGAGTAAAAACTAAAAATAAAAGTGAATTTTGAGTTTCCTTTGATAATTCTGTTGTGAAGAATAACCATTGTGAATTTCAGAGCTCTGATGTTTGATTACAGTTATTAGTTTTTATTTTGTTTTAATTTTTAAAATATTTTTATTGATTTCAGAGAGGAAAGGAGAGGGAGAGAGCGAGAGAGAGAAACATCAGTGATGAGAGGGAATCATTGAGTGACTGCCTCTTGCACACCCCATACTGGGGATTGAAACCTCAACCTGGGCATGTGCCCTTGACTGGGAATCGAATTGTGACCTTCTGGTTCCTACACCAGCTGGGCTACAGTTACTAGATTTTGAGAATACTAACCTAGCTTCAGATCTCAGCTATAAATTGAGATTATAAAATTTGAATGTAAAATTATTATTTATTGACAATCATTAATATCTAATAGGTGTAGAAAATTTTAGCTCCAACAAATGACTGGAGCTGTCAACAGAAATGTTACTAATGAATGAAATTACTGGTTGTTTTTTCTGGAAAAGTCATCATAGCAAGTGATTGAACTCCCCATCTCCCGGTCGAACTCCCGAGGGCACACTTTGCCAATTAGCCTTTTATATATATATATATAGATTCACCCTCTACCATTTATATTCATATCACAGAATTTCTCTTATTTGCTTATAATTTTATTTCATCCATAAAAATTCAAAAATTTTATTAGATTTGTAGCATATTTATATGGACTCTGACATGTCAGTCTTTTTCTTTGAGATTATTTTATCACTTCTAAAAATAGACAGATAATTTTACATCAAGAAATTTGGCCTGGCTTGTGTGGTTCAGGGTTGAGCACTGACCTATGAACCAGTCAGGGCACATGCCCTGGTTGTGGGCTAGATTGCCAGTAGGAGGGCATGCAGGAGGCAGCCAATCAATGATTCTCATCATTGATGTTTCTATCTATCTATCTATCTATCTATCTCTCCCTTACTCTCTGAAATCAATGAAAATATATTAAAAAAGAAAGAAATTTGACAGTCACTTGTAACTTATTTTAACATTTGTATCTGGGCTCTTTTGTTCTATTGGTCTGTTTTTCCTGTGCAAGTTTTACTTAAAATTTGTTGTCCTTGCTTTTTGGTATGCCTAATTTAGTTACCAAAAGTTTTTTTGACTTGTGATTGGAATTGTACCAAACCAAAGGCTTGTGGAATAAGTGACATTTTAATGATATTTAATTTTTCTATTCAAAACAAGATAGGTTTTTCTGCCCAGCTGGTATGGCTCAGTGGTTGAGCATAGACCCATGAACCAAGTTTGATTCATGGTCAGGGCAAATGCCTGGGTTGCAGGCTAAATCCCCAGGGGGGGGGTTGGGGCGGGGGTTTGCAGGAAGAGCTGATCATTGTTTCTATCTCTCTATTCCTCTCCCTTACTCCCTCTCTAAAAATTCAATAAAAAAATACCTTTTTTAAAAAGGTAAGTTTTCCTACTGAGATCTTTTCTAGCTTAGTTATTTGGGTTTTTCCTCAAATCTCTTTATTGTTTCAGGAAAGAAGAAATGTACTCATCATAAATAATGCAGAAAAACACCAAGATAGAAAAAATTTTAATGTTTTACAAATTTCATAATTCAGATAATACCATTAACATTAGCTGAGCCACATTCCAGAAATTGTTCTGTGGATATATACAATTAAAAGGATGGCTTGGTGAAGGATTGAATCCTTCCTATATAATAAAACCCTAATATGCAAATTGACCAAACAGCAGAACAACTGGTGGAACCACCAGCTATG